GAATTCACAAGATCACCAAAACAGGGTTCCCTTATCTAAGACTTAAAATAATCAATAAAGTAGTCAATTAAATCTGATTATCGTACAGATTCAAAGTCACGCCCATGTGAGGGTTCTCAACTAAGTCCAGCCAATCACATTCAACTATTAATTGAGATCTACAGTTTCTAAGATCACACTAGGGATCGCTACACGACCCTCGTCTACTATAAAAACCCATTTTTTCCTATTAAAATCAGTTCTTTCGGCTATTTTAAATTACACAAAATCTGCGACACTCTACTCAAGATTCTACTCTCTGGGACTTAGTTTATTTTTTTAATTTATTTGGACTTAGAATATTTTTCTTTAAAACTAAATGACACTTAGAGATTTTAAAGTAAATTTTGTTTTGGTGAATCTTTTAATTTAATTTAATTTGTTCATTAAATAATAATGTTTTATTTTATTATAGAAATAAATGTCAACTAATATTTTAAAACAAAACATTTTTTTTTTTAATAAAACCGAATCAACTCTGATTTTCTCAGTTAATGATAAATATTTATTATATGACTAAGTGTATTGCAACTCTATACTTATTGGGTAGCTAATCTTCTGTGGTTTAATGTCTTTGTTCTAACGAACATCGCGCCGGCAGACAGAGTAAAGGTTGCAATTAAATATTTTTAAAGTTAGGTGTTAGGTTAGAATATATTTGTAAGCCTATGTGTATTGGGTAGCTAATCTTCTGTGGTTTAATGTCTTTGTCTTAACAAACATCGCGCCGGCAGACAGCACAGAGAAACTTACAAATATATGTTTTTAGTGTTTAATTTTTGTCTTGGTGATTATTGTGCCGCATCCTTTCAAGGTGCTTTAATTTAGCACCGGGACACATTGGGCCACCACAATTCCGCCTTGACAAATCTTTTACATAGATATAAATATTTCTGAATCTTGTTTTGGCCAGGCCAGAGGAAAATTTAAGAAATATTGGTGTCGATCTCTCAATAAAATATAATCTCAAAAAATATACTCATTCTACAAAGTCAACTAAAGATACATTATTTGATTATAATTTTAAAAATATAGAGTGTACAGAATCTCTTGTATATAATAATACAGTCATAGATTTTGTGTAACGGTTTCGTATTATTTACAATTAAACGGTTTATTCTCAAACGGTCATATTTGTTGTCGAACTCAAAGTGTACAACGTGTGAAATACAGTGTAAACTCATAATCAACATTGGATTATCTAAAATAAGCATTACACTACGTGGGATACAAGGTAAGTACAAAATTAAATTCTCGCTTTCAAATTATAAATACTCTATTGCGTAATAAACCATTAAGATAGGTAATAAAGTTTGGTAGGATAATTGACTTCATTTATTCAATAGTGTTCAACCCCGAGATCAGTTCAATATTTTTGTCACAACGTTTGTGTAAATTTTTATTTATTTGATCATTACCCTCATGTATTTAAACTCCGTTTATTCACCCCTCTGAATTCTTCTTTATTCGTATCATTATATCCTTTGCACCCTTACATATCTTGCCACATTTAAACATGTGTTACTCCGCCATTTACCGTCTTATTTAATAATTTTTATTACCATTCGTCCCCAATACCTACCGCCTATTTCACCACCTTCATCTTATCTTATAATTATAAATTCCAACCATTATAAGTTTTCAAAATTAATTTTATTCATTTTTCTTTTTGGTTTATTACACAATAGAATTAATAGCGACAAAAGCGATATGNCAATAGAATTAATAGCGACAAAAGCGATATGGGAAACTTTTCAGTTTTATGAATTACGAGAAATTATGAGACAAAGAGATGATAAAGAATTTGCTGAAGTATTAACTAAATTAGCAAGGGGAGAATTAATTAAAAAAGATATAGACTTTTTTATGAAACTTGTAAAACCGTTGGAAATTAGTTTTCAACCTGGAGTTATGCATCTATGGGCAACAAATAAAGAGGTGGATGATATGAATACGAGAGTATTAAACAGTTTAAATACTACTAGTTTTGTATCTGAAGCAATAGATACAACAGGGAAAAAAGTTAACCGTTGGAAATTAGTTTTCAACCTGGAGTTATGCATCTATGGGCAACAAATAAAGAGGTGGACGATATGAATACGAGAGTCTTAAACAGTTTAAATACTACTAGTTTTGTATCTGAAGCAATAGATACAACAGGGAAAAAAGTTGATATTACTGCTGCAAATAAACTTCCAAGGCAAAAAACTATGGGATTGCCTAAAACACTTATACTGAAGGTAACTGCGAAATACATGATTGTTACAAATATCTGTACAGAAGACGGAATTGTTAATGGCGCTATTGGTGAACTGATGCAAATCAACCGTACAATAACTACTAGTGGTAAAGAAGTTGCTCATAGAGTGTGGATAAAATTTGATGAACCAGAAGTAGGCTCAATTACAAGACAAAAAGTTAAAGGAAAGTTGTCCCCTCAAGGAGAAGTATCCGACGACTGGTCTCACTGGACACCTATTGAAATTACGCACTTGGAATTTCAAATTGGAAATTCAGAGAACCGGAAGGTAACTAGAACGCAATTACCTTTAGTTGAGGCATTAGCATTGACTGTTCATAAATCACAAGGTGCAACATATGAAAATGTTGCATACCATGTGCCTAAAAAGTATTTACTGTGTAATATGCTTTATGTAGGATGCAGTAGAGCAACATCAGCCAAGGGCTTATGTATAGACTATTTTCCATTTAATCCACCTAAACCATCTTCAAAAGTCAATGCTGAAATGGCTAGACTACGGTCTTGTGAAATAAAACCTAAATTTTCATTTTTAACATCAGACAATCTGTCGATATATTGTGTTTCACACAATATAAGATCACTAAACAAATATTTCGAACACATACTTGCTGATAAAATATTATTAAAATCAAATATACTATTTTTCCAAGAAACTGGAACAACAGAAAATGATTTTTATAACATTGAAGGATTCACAGAGATATGTAGGATCAACAAAGTGCATGACAATGGCAAAAGTGGTTCAATATGTTTCCTAAATAATAATATACGTGATATTTTCAAGTCAAGTGAACCCTTAGTTATTACTCATAACAAAGAACACATGGAAATTATTTGTGTTATCCTTGATAATTACACATATGTCGGATTATATGTTTCGCCTAAATTTCCTACAAACAAAATGTGTGAATGCTTAAAAAATATAATTGATATTAATGGAGAAAACATAATTTTTATTGGGGATTTCAATATAAATTTCTATAAAATTCCAAATATTTTTAATAAAATTATAGAAGAAATGAAGTATAAAATACTTGTCAATGAAATTACAACAGACTATGGTACTTGTATTGACAATGTCATAACCAACACTGATTTTAATGTAATTGTTTATGAAAGTTTAGTGAGTGACCATAGACCTTTGGTTTTAGTGAACAAAGAAATACAACTTTCTTCCCGATCTAATAGCGATGAAAGGATTGATAATCATTATGTACCACCACTAAAAGAAAAATTACGACTTTCAGAGGATTTAGATAAAAACATTGATATTGCATTGCAATCAGTTGTACACAGAGATAGAGATGACGCTCTTATCGTGCCTGGAGATGACGTAGAAATGATTGAAGATATTTTTAATCGTTCGATGAGTATCATCGATGACAATGATGCATTAATCGTACAAAAAAGTATTTTGAAAAATAAAATAAACGTAGATAATGTAAAAATTTCTCGTCAAATCATTGGCTTTGCTAATATAGATAATGTATCATGTTATTCCAACTCTGTTATTCAAGCTTTATATCATTGTGATACGTTTGTAAGTACTATTCATAAAGGCCAAGCTGGAGAAATATTGAAACAACAGCTTATTGGTTATGAAAAAAATGAAGTGACTGATACGTTTGAAATAAGAAAATACGTGGATGACACTTTAAACAACACGATTTTTACTAGGAAGGAACAACAGGATTGTGTAGAATTTATGGAAGCTTTAATGAACTGTAACCGTAGTGTAAGTGATACCTTATTTAGTTTTACTGAAAGTTGTATAAACTACTGCGATTATTGTAAAAAAAAAACTTGTAGTTCAGAGGAACGCAATCTTGTGAAACGTTTAGAATTACCTTCTAATCGAAACCACAGTATAGAACTAGAAAGTCTACTTGAATTTAATAAAAAAAAATGGACATCCATTGATGATTATTCTTGTCAAAACTGTAATAAAACAGGTGGTTTCAAAAGACGACATGAAATAATAAAAGCAAATGATTATTTGATATTACAGTTGTCATTATTCAATTCTAGTTGGATAAATGGTCAATATATAATTAGTAAAACAACAGATCTAAAATTAAAAAATTTGTCCAAATCTCGATTTACAATAGAAGATTCTATTTATACACCGTCAGTTACAATATTTCATATAGGCAATGACACTAAATCTGGACATTACATCGTATATTTAAAAGAAAAGTCTAGATGGATATGTTGTGATGATAAAAATGTGTCTGAAAAAAGATGGCCAAATAATGGAAAAGGGGCGTATTTAATTATTCTAAAAAAGGATAACACATCTGTCAAAAAATTAGACAGTCTAAATAGTCCATCAAAGAAAAATAGATCTAATGTATTATTGGATAATAAGAACAATATATTGCAATTAGTTATACACGAAGAAGATGATTATGCACTTAAGGTGCCTGATGATGTAGCAATAATGGAAGATTTGTTCAATCGGTCATTAAGTATAACTGATGACGATTATCAAATCCAAAAAAGTCCATTATTATATTTAAATGAAACTCAAGATCATAATTTAAGAAATGATTTTTACTATAACAAATTACCAAAAAATTTGAAATACTACAGACAGGTAGAAGACCATACAAATATAGTTAAAAAATTAATATATAGCAAAATTAAACTATTTAATTTTATTTGTGGAACCTATTATCATATTATACCTGATTCCACAATGTATACTATACAAACATTAGAAATAAGTGATTTTATGTGTCTGTATGATGATAACTTTCTTAGCAACTTTGTGATTGATATTTGTTTGGCTATAAAGGCTATCAAAAATCAGGCAGAATTTAGAGTTTTATACTGTAATGAAGTAACGGAAATTTTAAGTAGTACAGAGTTAAATAAAAAACAGAAAATTAGATATAATTTTGAAGAAAATAGTGTAGTCATTATGCCGTGGCATATAAAATTATCAAAATTGAATCATTGGATTATTGCAATAATTAATTTCCAACTTAAAGAGTGTTACATATTGGACCCTATGAATCCTACTAAAGATACAAAATACAATCAGCAAAAGTTTCAAAAATTGTATAGAGCTTTGAAAAAACATTGTACTTATGCTAAAAAACCTATCCCTCGAGTATCATTGGTTCAATGTAAAGCCAAAAACATACCAAAACAAGTTGATGCTTATAACTGTGGAGTTTATATAATATACTACGCTATCACAATAATGAATAAATCACATTTTGACAAGAAGTTCAACCCTAATACTTATAGAAACGAATTAAAAAGTTTATTGCTAGAAAATTCAGGTGACATGGAAAACATATGTTTATATTGCCAAAAGTATATAGAACATCACAGCAGAATTGAATGGGTTTCATGCACTACATGTCGTCGTCGAGTAGTAACTGATTGTATAGCTGATCAGTATAGACTAAATGATTATAAAAATGTTGATTTCTATTGTATTTTATGTGACAAGACTAATAATTAAGTAAAAATATTTATTATAAAAATTTTATTTTTAATTAACAGCAAATCGTCGTCTCCATAAAAAACCCATTTTTTATCAATATAGTTTATTTTAAGTGTAAAGTTTAAATCTATAATTCTGATAGATAAATGGATATAAATTTTGTTTTCATAAAACGTTTTAAATTTTTACCTTGATCTTTTGAGTAATTATGTTGACGATATTAAGTAAATTTTAGCTTCTTTTATTTTGTATTAATTCAACTTAAATATTTTTAGCTCAAGACAATATAAGAGTAAAATACCTTCTCTGCTTCATATCGAAGCTAAAAAAAATTTTTGGGAGACTTAACAGCCAACCTCCTCGTGGTGTCTCCTGGGTAACGCTAATAGGCTGAACTATGAAAAATTATAAATTCATATCGTTACAATAGGCTAAAATTTAGGAATTAAATCATATATGTAATGGGTAAAGTTTTATACTTTAATGAAGTAATAGAAATTTTAAGTAGTACACAAAAAAATCAAGAACAGAAAAATAGGTATAAATACGAAAAAAATTATACTTAGAAATCAAAGAACTACTAATCAGGCTGTAATTAAAGAAATAGAAGTTGATGTTGTTTTTGAAATAATTAAACACTACCTGCAGATTTTTAATTGCTATAATAAATATTTATTCATATATTATACTTCTAAATCAAAAAACTACTAATCAGGAATAATAAAGGAAATAGGAATTAATTTTGCTTTTGGTATAATACACCATTATTTTAAAATTAAACACTATCTACAGATTTGCATCGAAGCGTTTTTTATGATAGTGATTTTAATCACTGCCAGATTAAATCTATACTGGAACCAACTATGCCACGACCCCACTGTGCTGGGTTTTTTTTTTTTTGACTTCAATATTTCAAACACATCAGCTGGTGTGCTAAAAACAGCCTTAATTGGACGAGGATTATTTTTACCATGAATACCAAGACGAATAACTTTAGACGGTCTAATATTCCCACTAGTAATAATCGAATCAATTACATTACTCACAAGATTAGAGTCATGCGTTATCAATGCATAATCAGACGGTCGACTGCATTATCAAGGTTGGACTCTGGAACGTTATAAAATATTAGATTAGATGCTCTGATATTGCGTTCGCCTACTTCACCAATTATAAACTCAGAAAAATTTTGAACGTTGTTATTTTTCTTCTGACTCTTTAGTTCATTAACTTCAGCTAATAAACGATTAATTAATAGTTTAAGCTCGGGCATATCACGCAAACCCTTATTGCATGCTTCGCAAAAGAATTTCAAATTTCGATTCTTCAAACCAAGACATTTTATTTCACTATTATTAAGACCTGAGCATTTGTTATGTGTTAGAACGTTACAGCCATCACACTTAATAGGAACATCAAACTCAGTGATAGTATGAAGATGGACATAATTAAAGTTGCAGATAAAATAATTAAAAATAAAATAGAACCGAGGAAACCGTAGATGACTGGAAAAATTCTTGTATTCATTGAAAAAAAGAACAAATTAAGGAACAGAGATTACAATTTATATAATCAGATAAAAAACGAAGTAACAACAAAATGACGTCTAGCAAAAGAATTTTGGTTAGATCAAAACGTACAAAAAATAGAACATGATCTACTAAGCACCAATACAGAAAAAACCTGTAATAATAACGTNAGAAGATAATATTGTAAAGTTAATGTTTTAACCTTTTTATTTCATTAATATAATATTACAATTAAAATTTCTACTATCCTACATTTACCTGGTACTCTGTCTGTAACCATTTTTTTACTTGGTACTTGATTAATAAATGTATTTACTACCCGGAACTTCTCTAGTATTAAATGTATGATCCATACATATATTTTTTCTTTATTTTAAACAATTAGGTCAGTACACATTTTGCAAATCACATCTCTTTTACACAAGATTTTCATCAAAATAGAAAAGAGTGTTTCTGTTGATGCTGATTCAGCCAATACTTATAATAATTCTAATTTAAAAGTTTTTAAATTTATATTTTAAACTATGAAAAAAAATTTTACACTGAACAAACTTATGAATTTATTGATAATAAATTAAATTGTATAGTCATTGTAATAAATGCCAGACAATCAAATTATGTTCGTAATTAGTAATTCAATAATAATAGATTTTAGTACAATATTTTATTATAACATTTTCATTACGTGATACATATGTATTTTATTCCTTACTTTTTCATTAATAGATAACTTTTTGGCTCCATGTTTGGCTCTAAGCTTATTAGTTTGTTCTAAATGTTGTTTTCTGATATTATTAATTTCGAAATTGGTAAGTCCTTCAATCAGCTTGTTTGACTGAGTGCTCTTAACTGGTGGTTTAGTAGTAGTTTTTTTATTTTGCACCTTATGCTGCGTTGTACTTTGGGTGATAAGTGGTCTTTTAGTAATTTCATTATTTTGCACCTTTTTTTTTTTTGAACTTGGAGTAATCGGTGGTATATTTGTAGTTTTGTTATTTTGCACCTTCTGCTTCTTTGAAATTAGAGTAGTTAGTGGAATTTTTGTAGTTGTTTTTTGAGATTTTCCTTGATTAATTATATTTTTATTAGGTTTAACGTTTCGTAATGTTTCATCATTATCGTTCTATTTAGTGTAATTAGTTGGTTATCAATAATTATATCGAATCAAAAATTCATAAAAAGATGAACTCAATCTAATACTATGAGTANTTACACTCCTAAATATCTAGTTGATTATTTACTTTATAAGTAATTTATTTAATTTATATAAAGTTTAATGCACATATAATATATGTGTATATTATAATATTACAAGATAATACCCTCGGCAGGTTTTGAAATCTTTAATAACTTCTAATGCAGTGAATACTGTGCATTATTTTTTAAAAATAATTTTCATAGATTACGTTAAAAACATGTATTAATTATTTGTTTTTAATAAATAAATAAATAAGTCAACAATTTTTAATTTGTAATACTAAGCTTAGCCTAACTGCATCTTACCTTGGGTGCCTACGAACCTACGGCACATTAAGCCCTATGGGCTGTCCTTACAAATGGCGAAAGAAAACATAATATTCATTAAAAACAATCTTTAAATTCCGTATTAAATGTGTAAAATACATAAAATTAAAAAAAAAATTAATATGCCCAAACTGATATCATATCTTACAAAAAACTTTGCACGTGGACGTTTCTGGACAGGCCTGGTAAAAACTTTTTATTACTGTAATAAACAAAAAGAAGTAAAAAGGATATGTGGCAAAGGAATGTTGTTAGGTGTGTTTGGGGTTCGGGGTGTGAAAGGGAATAAATGAATGTAATGTAAAGGAACACAGGTGGCCAATAAGGAAATNGAAATGTAACACAGGAGGCCAATAAGGAAATAATAATCGTAGCGGGCGTAGTGTAAAAAGGATGGGCAGCAATGGAAAGTAAAAGTGGCTATAGATACCCGGTAGTGACTACAATAAAATGAAATAGAAAGGGATCTCGGGGTATGTATGCTTGCGTAAAGACGTCTAATGTATGAATAAGATGGAATTACAAAGAAGGGTCACTACCTAGCTCCTGCACAGAAACGCGTACACTAATTTCCGGCGAGTCACAAGTATCGTATTTTTTATAAAAATATTTTAGTTTATTCTCAATGACCTATCTTGTTCTAATTGTTTATTACTAAAAATTCTTCAGTAAAGGATCTATTATAGACTTATTATATAAACAAATGTTTCACTTACCTCTGACTATCCTGATAAGGCAGATATTCTCTTGAGATGAATGATGTTGTTGATGTAACAATTATCGATGTATACGTATAGGCATTAATGTACGCAATTATATTTATACGGTTTATATTATTATTAACTCGCGTGTAACTACTTCTCTAATGCAATTCTATATTAAATCTACCCAAGGTGAAATCTAAGTTTATTATAACTCTGTTTTTTGTAAAAACCTTTTGTATATTTATGTAGTATAGTCCTTAACCTTGTATATGGTGTTTTACCTTAATATATTTATTATTTAATAATTTATAAAGCAAATAAAGAACTTCTAAACAACATAACTGTCCTGTGCAACAAACTATTTCCAAGTGGCCTACGTCTTTTCAGTCGTCCAAAGAGTGATCTAGGGTAGATGCGAGCTCAATTTCGGTTCTTTGCACAATAGATTATACTAGTGTCCTACACTCCGATTGCCCGCACTGTGGCAGAGATCAGACTAGCTGGTCGATAAGTGGAGAGACACTTTGAAGAAATCTTATGATTAACTAAAATTCTAATTATGATATTATTGTACTATTACCCTGTCCAGCCAGGTTGTGGCCCTTCAATAAGTAATAGATACAATTCAATCAAATTAAGTACCTTAGAATGTCTAATGTATATTACAAAATAATATTAATAAGTAATGCGTTATAAATTATATAAGTGTCCTACACTCCGATTGCCCGCACTGTGGCAGAGATCAGACTGGCTGGTCGATAAATGGAGAGACACTTTGAATAAATCTTATGATTAACTAAAATTCTAATTATGATATTATTGTACTATTACCCTGTCCAGCCAGGTTGTGGCCCTTCAATAAGTAATAGATACAATTCAATCAAATTAATTACCTTAGAATGTCTAATGTATATTACAAAATAATATTAATAAATAATGCGTTATAAATTATATTAGTGTCCTACACTCCGATTGCCCGCACTGTGGCAGAGATCAGACTGGCTGGTCGATAAATGGAGAGACACTTTGAATAAATCTTATGATTAACTAAAATTCTAATTATGATATTATTGTACAATACCCTGTCCAGCCAGGTTGTGGCCCTTCAATAAGTAATAGATACAATTCAATCAAATTAATTACCTTAGAATGTCTAATGTATATTACAAAATAATATTAATAAATAATGTGTTATAAATTATATAAGTGTCCTACACTCCGATTGCCCGCACTGTGGCAGAGATCAGACTAGCTAGTCGATAAGTGGAGAGACACTTTAGAGAATGCTTATAATTAATTGGAGTA